ACGGCAAATATAATACTTAGGGACACAACTTTGATAGTTTTCCCTTTGAGATCAGGAAAAAGATATGGACGCCAGCTATTGCTATTACTGTCAACACTGTACAGGTGGTCTCGGTCAGTGCAATAGGTAAGGAAAAAGAATAGGAATTGGAAAGGCAGAAGTAAGTGTCATTAGTGCAGGTGATATGATTGTGGTAGTAGAAAATCATGACCAGTTATCTGTATTCCCAGCTTGTACCTTGCCTATGAACTCTGAACTTGTATGTTCAATTGCCTAAGTCCTTATCTCTACTTGGGCAACTAATAGGCGTTTCAGACTTAATGTGTCCAGCCTGCTCCTCCCACAGTCTTCCCCATCTCAGTACATGGCCCAAAACCTGGGAAATATTCTCGTTTCATACCTCATATGTATTTCACGCTTCACATTCAGTCTGTCAGCAGGTATAAGAATACACCTAGAATCAAACAATCTTTTGCATCAGAAGGGAGGAAGAGAATGGAATATCTTTAAATTTGCCAAAATTAACAATGGAAGGATAAAAAGGGAATAAAGACGGTGACCTCTGGGGAGGGAAGGAAAAAAACGTAGAAGGGAGATGGTGGCATAATTTCTGAACTTACCTTGTATTTTTTTTTAATTTTTATTTTTTGCACTCAAGATAGTTTTATTCATTGAATATTAAATCAGTATTAAAATCTCACCTCTTTTTAAAGGCATTAATAAAAATAAGACTTTAAGTTTTCTGCAAATAAAAAGTCAATGCAAAAAAATTCCCAGGGCTGCAAAGCCCTGCTCTGTTCTCTACTAAAGGGATTTCTAAACTGAGGCTGATTTCAATCTCAGGATTCTCCCTGGGGGCCCCAAAGGGAAACAATCAATCAGGAAGGGCTCAGACTTTTCTCCCCATGCACACATCTTCTCCTGGGACACCTTCTTCTCTGTCCCTACCCACGACGCAAAACCTTGTATTATTGTTTTGACTTTAAAATTTGTAAATGTGCCAGAGAAAAGAATTATTCCAAGTGACCTCAGAATATGGTATTTTGACTGTAGATCCTCAGTAGGATATACTACAAGCATAAAAAGAACTGCAAAGAAATCTTAAACTTTACTCAATAATTTTGTTGTCTGTAGTAATCCTGGTATTGTTATTTGAACCTGTTACGTATTTAAAATAGGATACAATAAGTATTTAATGTTGTTAGGAATAAAGATTTTCAGCATAAGAGAAAAGATATAAAAATAAAAGAAATTAAGTAAAAACTATCTGTAGCTCTTATATATGAGTTAGAATCCACGATTACAATGATTATTTTCCCTTTCAAAGATACATATCTTCTAACTCTGTTCATTGAAAGACCTTGGTACTCTAACAACCCAGTGGCATTAAGCTCCTACCTGCTAGATTTCCCACTTTAAATACCATTCCCCACTGAAAGGAACTAGGCCTTCTTAGGGAAATGCCTGATTCCAGGTCTGGAGCTGTTATGCCAGAAAGCTAGAAAGCTCTCAAAGGCTATTAGGGTTTGGTTGAAGCGATGGGAGAGGTTGTGATTAGAGGTGAGATAACTTGTTTCTTGGAGCTATGTGCTGGAATGTTTGCAGATGTAGTGATGAGGTGTTTGAGATTTGTTTCAGAACAGCCTAGTGGTAGGGAGGGGTGTAGTTGAAATCATGTAAATGTCCATGACTTAAGAATTTTTTTTTTTTCAGGCAAGGCTTTATTGGGGGTTCCTGCTGTAACACAAAGGAGTGAAAACAAGGAACAGGTTCCCTTGCTCGCTCCTTTTTTTTTTTTTTTTGAGTCCTGCTGTAACACAAAGGAGTGAAAACAAGGAACAGGTTCCCTTGCTCGCTCCTTTTTTTTTTTTTTTTTGAGTTGAGAATTAGTAAGTCTAAGTGATAGGTATATAGGGATTTGTTATACTATTTTCTGTGTGTTTGAAAGTTTCCAAATAAAAATAAAAAAGCATAAGAACAAGGGAAAAGGAAGTCCTACAGGCCAAAGATGGGACAATTTGTGTTTCAAAAATACTAATGACTACCTCTGATTAAAACTTACTGTGATAAAAAGCAATAATTTGTAGTAATACCTAAAGAAGTAATACCTAAAGAAAGCAAAGCTCGCTGGACACATTGAAGGTAGCAAGACAATAGTTCATTAATATAAAACTTGATAATTAAAGGGAAAGAATAAGTGTTTATTTTGCTTTTCCAACACCAGTGGCATTTTCTCACCCTAGTGGAGGAGAAAAAGTTATTTACAGAGCAACTTTAGCTCATAGATGCCGAAGAAACGATAGAAAATCATCATTCTGCAAACCATAATAAAATATGTTTCAGACAGTAGTTATCAGAGCATGGTAAATGCATTAGGTAAAATATTTTTTTAAAATAAATTTATTTATTTATTTTTGGCTGTGTTGGGTCTTCGTTGCTGTGCGCGGGCTTTCTCTAGTTGTGGCGAGCGGGGGCCACTCTTCGTTACAGTAAGTGGGCTTCTCATTGCGGTGGCTTATTCTGTTGCGGAGCAGGGCTCCAGGCGCACGGGCTTCAGTAGTTGTGGCTTGAGGGCTCCATAGCGCAGCCTCAGCAATTGTGGCACATGGGTTTAGCTGCTCCGTGGCATGTGGGATCTTCCCAGACCAGGGATCGAACCCGTGTCCCCTGCATTGGCAAGTGGACTCTCAACCACTGTACCACCAGGGAAACCCAATTAGGTAAAATATTGATGGGCAGTTTTAATCAGGCTGTTACTATCTGAATTTGTTGATTAATTTAGCGTCACTAAAAGTAAGAAAACCAGATACAAGCCTCCTAAAGTGATATAATATTATTGAAGAGTATCACACCATCTATAAAGTATTCTAGCCAAAAATGTAAATAATAGCATGAAAGCAGCCATAGACAATAAGTAAATGAATGTGCATGGCTGCATTCCAGTAAAACTTTACTTACAAAAAGGGTGGTAGGTTGGATTTGGCCCAAGGCTGTGGTTTCCTGACATCTGCTATTGAAGGTACAAAAATATGGGAGTTTTCTCCTTTATTTTATTATTTATGTATCTATGTATTTTTGGCTGTGCCCCACGGCTTGTGGGATCTTAGTTTCCCGACGAGGGGTTGAACCTGCACCCTCGGCCGTGTAAGCGCAGAGTCCTAACCACTGGACTGCCAGGGAATTCCCTCTTTTATTTTAATTATGGTAAAATTTGACAAGAAGAAGGTATGGTTTGGCATGATATCACAAAATGAATGTAGGATTTAAAGTTAGAAGCCTTGGGTTCAAATCCTGACTCTAAATTGGCTGTGTAATTTTAGGGCAGTCACTTAACCTTTCTGATCCTTATTTTATGCTTCTGAGAATGAGGACAGTAATAATGTATACTTCCCAGGGTGGTTTTAAAGATGAAATGGAATAAGGTATGTGAAAGTGCTTTATAAACTGAAAATGCTAAGCACATATTGCTTGTTCTCACAAATTGCTTGTTGTTCAGCATCTTGTAGATTCATCTGTAATAAACGTTAAATATTTAAAAGTAAAAGCAAACTAGAAAATTTGAATTTAAATGTAATATAGATATGAAGACTGAGAGAAGTGAGCTATACATTATGCATTTCTCTTTTCCGAAGCCAACAAAGTGACTTTAGACTGGTAAAAGCTGCTTTTAACAGAAGATGGTATAAATATATTTTTCCAAAGTAGAATTTTCTAGGGAACCATTGGTTTTCATCACAGGTGTGGGATTTATAGTGGTAACGTGCTGGTGGGGGAGCTGAGGAAGGACGAAGTGGAGAAGCGCAGGTAGGTGTTGACAGGGAGGCCTGAGGGGAAGCCTTTGTGGTGGGCAGCGGGAGCGCATCCGTGACCTGCAAGAAAGCGTTTTCAGTAGAGCAGGAATCTGGCCAAACTGCAGGCAGCCGGGAGGGAGTGGGCGGGGAGGAAACGGAGGCATTAAGCAGACGCGGCTCTTTCTACACCTTTGGCAGAAAAGTGAAAAAATAGGGTGTCGCTCAAAAGGGCATCAGGGTTGGGTAGATGCTATCTCAGAAAAGGGAGGGCAGCCAGGGGAAGGAGTGGGACAAGGGTCCACGGGGAAGGGAGGCAGCCTGAGGGCAGGCAGGAGGGAGAGTTGAGAGTGGGATGGAGAAATGTCCAGGGACGGGAGGTGGCCATATACCCGGCCAGTGGAGGCCAGGCTGCAGTGAGCAAAGTGGGGAGGGGAGCCTTGCAGAGAAGGGTGTGGTGGATATGAGAGCTCCCTCAGAGGCTGACCAGCGACGGTGTGTCCTCCCTCAGTGCACTGCCCACTCCGGGCTTTACTTTTACCCTCAGCCTTCACTCCGCCACATCTGTTAGAGATCACGCATTTACAAACTATAAGCTCCTTGAGTGCAAGGCTTATGTCAAATTCAAATCAGTATCTCCTGTAACACTCACCATAACGCTGCGTGTAACCCATGTTTGCTGAATGTCTGTAGGACATGTGAGGGAAGAAATGAAGGGAAATTGCCACGAATACAGGACTGAGTCAGCAGGGGCAGTTGGCCTTGCATGGTTGGTTTGGTTAAAGCAAGCCGCCCCACCTAGGTAGCGATGAAAGGGAGATAGCCTAGATTCCTAATAAATTAAAAGTCACCTCCTCCTGGGAGCCCACCGTCTCCAAATTTGGGTTAGATACCCATACTGTGTGCTCCCGGAGGCATGTGTACCTCTTCATTATGGCATTTTGCACCCTCTGGTGAAATGGTCTGCTTACTTGATTGACTCGTCTGTACCCCACACGTCTGTTGAGCTTCAGTTGAAGGCAGGACTCATATCTTTCTTGTCTCTGTATTTGCATCACTGAGCACAAAGCCTGGCACGCTCAGCACATCATAGGTTCTCATTAAGTATGTTTCAGTTGATTACAGATTAGCTGATTGGGGATCTGAAACATTGAGAACTGATTGTAAGTATTGTCTCTGGGTCTCTTTCTCTTTTAAACCCTGCCATTGTAGGAGGAAATTCGGTGCCTTCTAAAGGACTTCAACCCTCTCCATGTCCGCAAAATCCAGAATGGCTGCAAATGGTAATGACTGTTCTTCCTTTGTTTTCTTTGGGAAGCAACTCCTTTCCTCTTTGTCCATTTTGCTGATGCACTGATGTTACAGACTAGCTCAACAACTCCCAAAGCCACACCCACTGCAACTTGGCAGAGTGACATTTGGGAAACCCCCTTTCCACATCCAACCCTCTGACTTGGCAGCTAATGCTGCCTTATCCATACAACCTTGGTTTAGAAGTCCAGAGACCTGGGTTTGCTTTTGGTCATGTCCTTGCTCTGTTTTCTGACTCGAGGCAAGTTACTGTACCTCCCTCAGCCTTGGTTGCCCCTGAAACCTGGACCTACTCATATTTTCCCTTTCTTATTTTCCAGGCAGTAAAAGGGCTTTGAAATTTTGTGGGGAGCGGTGTGAAGGAAGCCCAGAGCCGTGCCATATGTTATATAGTGATAGGGTCAGCATGTGTCTCCTGATCCCCAGGACACCCAGGACAGGCTGTCCCACTGCCCATCCCAGCCCAAGTGTGGATGTCATTGTGGCCTCCTGGTGTGTTAGGGTCAGCCCAGCTCCTCTCCTGTCCCCACAGAGGGAAGAGGAGACTTTTTCTAGGCTTGGGCTTGGTGCCCTCCTGTGGCTCTGTTCTGAGCCGGGCTCAGAGCTGCCCTCTCCTTCCTTTGCAGCTTCGCATTTGTAGATGTGGGCTCCATGCAGAAAGTGGCGCTTGTGATCCAGGAGCTGAATGGGAAGCTCTTCCGCAAACGAAAACTGTACGTGAATTCCAACAAAAGGTCTCCCAAGAGGACCCTTGATGTGACTGAGTGGACTCAGGAACTGCTGGTAGGTTTCTGGCCTCTCTGCGCTCTGGTTTGCTCTGTGCTCACTCTTCAGAGCTTGGCCGACTTTCCTTTCTGTCCTTTCCTCCTTCCATCCCAGTCGTACTGTGGACAAAGCAGGGGCTGGGATGAAATTCAGGAAACTTTTATGACCTTTAACAGTTGGAAGCAAGGTTAGTATGGAAAACTTGGAATTTTGAAATGAAAGGAAGGCTGTATTCTTAGCAAGGACAAAAAAAGGGTTATTAGGCAATCCAGTCAGGGCTTTTTCAACATGGGTTATTGAAATTGAGGCTTTTACTTGTTTAACGTAGCAGACATTAATTGAGTATCTATTGTTTGCACAGCCTTGTTCTGGCTGCTGGTGTGAGGGTAAGTAAGACAAAAGTGAATAAAATCTGGTCCTTCCTGGCAGGAAGACAAATGTGAGGTATTGGAAGGGGAGAGTTAATGGTGGGTTAGCGCCTGGTGGGGGCTGCCTTTGTGCACAGAGACGAGAAGGCCCATAACTAAGCCCTGGGAGCTTCCCTCCGGTGAGGTGGGCCCGTTCTCAGTGGGTAAAGGTGAACCAGGAGCAAAGCATCCCACTTCAGAGTCTGAATTGTTAGCGATTGACTTGTCCTGATTTCCTCATATATACAGCCGACAGTGACTTAAACAAGTTAGCTATTTGTTTTTCTTTCCTGCAGAAGAATTCAGGAGGTAAAGAGTCCAAGGTTGGTATGGGCACTCCATGGTGTTATCAGAGTTCCAGGCAGGAAGAAGGGGAGAGGCAGAGGGTGGAGATGCTGTATCCTCATAAAAGCCGCATTCTCAGAAGCCTGACCACAATTCTGCTCCTGTTGTGTTGGAGAGAACTACAACTGGTGACCTTCAATGCAAAGGAGGCTGGAAAACATAGCTTATTTTAAAATAGGTACATTGTTGCTAAACTTGGGGATCTGTCAGCAAGGGAAGGGAGAATGCCTGTTGGCAGGCAGTTAACAAGGTCAGCCACTGCTGCAGAAGTTGGAGATGGGAGTTGAGAGGTGGATAGGAATCACCACAGTAAGATTGTCAGAGGTGACTCCCCTTGCTAGTCCAAACTTTTTTGTTCCCATTCTTCTTAAACTCTAGCTCTTGGAAGGACAGGCTGTCAGATTATGCTACGTAATGACCTTCTTGGTTGCAGTCAAATGCCATTCTCGCTGTCATGCCCCCCTGATAACTTCAGCTTCTAACTCACTGTCTTTCTCTCTTACTGACACTCACATTGTGTCCCTGCGAATGATCTAAGAGTCTGGCCCCTTATTTCTAGAGCATTTATCTTTAATGATCTTTTCTTCCACTCAGTCACAGTTTCCCATTCCCTGAGTTATATCTCAGACCTTGTCATTGCTCATAACTGAACATCTCCAAAATATCCATTTCGAGCATCCCGCTCTGCCCCTCTCCCCTTCTTTGCAGCTCTCTTACTTTGGAGGAGCAGTTCTCAAACTTTAACAGCGTCAGAATCACTGATGAGCTTGGTAAACAGCTTGCTGAGCCTCACCTTCAGAGATACTGATTGAGTGCATCTGGGGCAGGGCCTGAGAATTTTCACAAGTGCCAGGTGGTGCTGGTGCTACTGGTCCTGGGACCACATGTTGAGTAGCAAGGCTCTAAAGCCCCCAGTCTAATGATTAGACACTCTGGGACCCCAAATCCACGGCCTCACCATTTCTTCACTATTCAACACTCTTTGCTCCATCACATCTCTTCTTAGCTTAGATTCCGTAGTTATAACTACCTTAGTTCAAACGACCTGAATTCCCTTAGCTTACTAGGTCATATCTTGCAAAACCCCTCTCTCAGTTGAACCCAGCCCTCAACCTCTTCTGAAGCTGCCCTGTGAGCCGCTGAAGATATTCACACCACCTTGCCAACTGCTCTCAGTATAGGTATGGCCACAGCTTTCCCACTCTTTCCAACTGACCTGTCTTGGAAATCTCTAATCGTTTCTGCTGTTATGTCCAATCTGCTATTAAGCCCAGCTAATGCATTTTTCATTTTAGGTAGTGTAGTTTTCAACTGCCATTTGGTTCTTTTTTCCCCATTTCTCAGCTGAACTCTTCCATCTTTTCATCCATTTTGTTTATCTTTTCTTCCATGTTCTTTAATATACTTACTGTAGTTATAAAATCATTTTCTGCCAATTGCAACAGCTGTGTCATTAGTGGCTCTGCTTCTATTGACATTTACCTCCTTGCTTAAGGGTCAAGACTTCTTACAAATATGGTAATTTTTGATTGTATGGTGGATATTATGGATGTTGTATGGTAGAGACTTTACATTATGTTCTCTAAATAGTGTTGATTTTTTTTTCCTAGCAAAAATGGAACACTAGCTGGCCTTCTGATCTTATTAAAGTTGGTTTTCTTTGTTCGAATTAGTATACTTCAGTTTGAGCTGTAGTTTTTGGGCAAAATCCTTTTCCTAAGGCTTGACCTTCTAGGGTGAGGGTCTCAGGGTGCTTACCAAGGTCTCTGCACTCTGGCCGGGTCAGAACTCTGTTGTCTCCCCAGCACTGTGAGATCTTTGATTCCTGTATTCCTCTCTTAGCTCCCTGTCCTCTACCTTCTACAGCAGCTCTTCTCTCGAAGGCCTCCCAGAACTTGCCCTGCACACGGGCAGCCTAGGATTCGGCAAGGACCTGGGGTCAGCCTCTAGATCTCTGGGGCTTTTCTCTGGCTCCTTTCTCTCTGGTACCCTGCCTCACAGATTCCTGGCACCAAAACTCTTATCTGGGTTTCTTCTGCCCAGGAAGACTGCCACTGACTGCCCAAGCTCTGCTTGCCTTTGCTGTGGTTTGGGAAAATGCCCACAGTAAATGTGGGCCCACCGGCTGTGCTTTCCTTTTCTCAGGCAAACTGCTCTCTGCTACCCACTATCATTAGCCTGTGCCAGAAACGGTTAATTCATATAGTTCGTCCAGTTTTAGGGTTATTTGGGACGGGCGAGTACTGTCATGCCAGAACCAGGTACTAGAAAAGGGTGTTAAGAGGCTCGCCTTCTTCCTTTCGGGATGGCTATCATTTCTCAGGAACATTCCCAGTGCTTTTATATTAGAAATAAGTAACCAAAAGATGAACACTAATCTCCATACATTTGGAAATCTAAAAACATATTCCTAAGTAAACAACACATGGGTCAAAGAAGAAATCATAAGAGAAATTTAAAAGTACTTAGGAGACTTCCCTGGCCGTCCAGTGGTTAAGACCACACTTGCATTGCAGGGGACATGGGTTCAGTCCCTGGTCGGGGAACTAAGATCCTGCATGCTGCATTGCACAGCCAAGAAAAAAAAAAAGGTACTTAGAACTGAACGATAAGGAAAATTTTTCTCATCAAAAGTTGTGGGATAGGGCTTCCCTACTTAACTACTGGTGATGCAGTAGTTAAGAATCCGTCTGTCAGTGCAGGGGACACGGGTTCGAGCCCTGGTCCAGGAAGATCCCACATGTCTCAGAGCAACTAAGCCCGTGCACCACAACTACTGAGCCTGCGGTCTAGAGCCCGCGAGCCGCAACTACTGAGCCCACGTGCCGCAACTACTGAAGCCTGCGTGTGTAGAGCACATGCTCTGCAACAGAAGTCCCCGCAATGAGAAGCCCGTGCACCGCAATGAGGGTAGCCCCCGCTTGCCGTAACTAGGGAAAGCCGGTGCTCAGCAACAAAGACCCAACGCAGCTAAAAATAAAATAAATAAATTTATATATAAAAAAAAGTTGTGGGATACAGCGAAAGCAATACTTATAGGGAACTGTATAATATTGAATGCTTAAATGAGCAAAGAAGACAGGATGAAAGTAAATGAGCTTAGAGTTGATTGAAGAAGTATATAAAAAGTAAAAATAAACCCAAATAAGGAACAGACAAAAATTTTTTTTTTTTTTTTGCAGTACGCGGGCCTCTCATGTTGTGGCCTCTCGCGTTGTGGAGCACAGGCTCCAGACGCGCAGGCTCAGCAGCCGTGGTTCACGGGCCCAGCCGCTCTGCGGCATGTGGGATCTTCCCGGACCGGGGCACGAACCTGTGTCCCCTGCATCAGCAGGTGGACTCTCAACTACTGCACCACCAGGGAAGCCCAGACAAAAGTTTTAAAACAAAGTTTTTTAAAATTTAAAATTTTGTAAACAAAGCCACAATTATATGTCAGTTACATCTCAGTAAAGCCGGGGGGAAAACAAGAAGCATAAAAAACAAAGCTACAATAGAAGGGATCAGTAAAGTCAAAATTTCATTCTTTAAAGAGATTAATGAAACAGAAAAACCTTTGGAATGATTAATCAAGAAAAAAGGAGAAAAGGGCATAGGTAAACATTAGTAATAAAAAGATCATAACTATACATGCAGCAGATAATAAAATATAAGCTAATATGGTAATAAACTTGAAAACTTAGAAGAAATGGACACATTTCTTAAAGTATATCATTTTCAAAACTAATAAAAAAAACTGCTAGTCCTATATCTGTAAAGCAGTTGAATCAAAGTTTAGAATCTTCTTATAAAGAAAACACCAAGCCCAGATGGTTTTATGGCAAATTTTACTGAATTTTCAAGGAACAGAAAATTCCAATATTATATAAATTCTTCTAAAGAATAAGTGAGATACTTGCTAGTTCATTCTATGAGGCCAATATAACCCTGATATCAAATCAGACAGGAGAGCATAAGAGAGAAAAATTGCAGGCTGGTTTCACTCACATGAATACACATGCAGTGTTTCTAAACAAAATATTGGCAAAATGAAGTCAATATTGGCTAATGAAGATAGTATTATACATCATGGCAGTTGCATTTTTTTCTAGAAATGCAGAAGTAGCTTAATATTAGATAACTGATAAATCAGGAGTTCCCTGGTGGCCTAGTGGTTAGGATTCTGGGCTTTGACTGCCAAAGCCTGGGTTCAGTTCCTGGTCAGGGAGCAGAGATCCCACAAGCCATATGGCGCAGCCAAAAAAAAAAAAAAAAAAAAAAAAAAAG